GGGAGAGGGGGAAAGGGGGAGGGAGGGGAGAAAAGAGGGGGAGGAGAGAAGGGGGAGCACGGGGGAGAGCGGGAGAGGGGGTGGGCGGAGGAGTGTGGAGGAGGGTGGAGGAGTGAAGGGGGGAGTTGGGAGACGGTGGGGGAGGGTGGCGGAGCATGGCGAGGGTGGGGAAGATAGACAACGGTACAGAGACCATCACATCCAGTAATCAAGTGTCAGTAGTTTCTGCGTTAGCATGGCCAGTAGTTACGCGCAGGCTAGAACCAAGTGAGCATCAGGATTATGCCAAAGAAATGACATCTGAGAAAACGATTACCACAAAGTTCTACAAGACAGCCACAGGTGTGAGACTGCAGGTGGCCCCGTAGGTGAGATGCCCATAGCAACAGCACAAACAGAGGAAGACCATACAATATCCACAAAGAAGTAGAAAGGAGGCGAGTACCGCATTGAAGCAGAGTAGCGTGGCACAATAGACACCATTATCAAATAAAATCAACAGTCATGCAAGCCAGAACAGTCGTACCGTCAGAATAGCCAGATAGTCACGGGAAGAGCACAACATGGGACACGTAACCATAGGGAATAGCACGGGCAGGGAGGATATGAAATTCCGAAGCACACAAATGGAAAATGGGCAGTGAGGAGGTCCATGCATGAGTGATTACCTGGAAAGCTCCATCCAATGCAGTTTTCAGAGCTGAGAACGCATCGTCTCCCGCCTGCACAAATAATCACCGGAAAAATGAGCAAACAGTGCACCAAATACTATACAGTGCATACACCCAATGACTCAGCAGACGAAAAATACTGTGAGCGAATGGGAGAAACTATTCCTCGCCCCCCCAAACCGCCCCCCCCTGGCAATAGCAATACCCTAAACCCTGAACTGAAAGGAAAATTCTACCCGAGCTTTGTGGGGACGACCTCAAACGAGTCAAAAGGCTATATACTAAATACTAAATACTGAAGTCCTTCGGGACATCCGTTAAAATTGGAACAATACAGAGAAGATGAGCATGGCCCCTGCACAAGGATGACTCGCGTAAATTGAGAAATGGTCCAAATTATTTAAAAAAAAAACAAAAAAAAAACTAGCTTTCCCACCCGGGCGCCCGGGCCACCCGAGGTCGCCCGGAATGGCGCTCAGGGCACTCGGCCGTGCAACCCCCCCGGCCAGGCACCCGGGCTTCCTCAGCGCCATACCCAAAACAGCTTAAATTGTTTTTCGCGCCGCCGCCCGACAGCCCACAGGCCAAATTCTTTTTTGCCTAGCAGCGCGCCATTTTTCGGGGCCCGGTAGGGCCCCTTTTGAGAAGTTTTTTTTTTTTTGATCTACGTCGTTGATCATCGGTGATCGGCGGCGCACATAGCTCCCAGGGTTCAATTCGAATCCTAGGCCGGTCTGCCTCACCCCGTGCACCACGCCCTCCACTCTCCGCCCTCCGCCCTCCGGCCCTCCGCCACGCGCCAGTCTCGTTGCTGTCGTTGTCGCCCTCCCACCGCACCGTCGTCGTCGTCCTGCTGCCGCCATCGTCGTCGACCTGCGGCCGCCCTGTCGTTGTCATCCTGCCTTCCTCTAGCGCGCCATCCCCACGAAGGCTCGAACTTCGAGGTAAGTTTTCGTTTTTTTTTGTCTCTTCTTCTTCTTCTTCTTCTTCTTCTTCTTCTTCTTCTTCCTAGTTTCTTCTTCTTCTTCTTCTTCTTCTTCTTCTTCTTCTTCTTCTTCTTCGTTTCTTCTTCTTCTTCTTCTTCTTCTTCTTCGTTTCTTCTTCTTCTTCTTCTTCTTCTTCTTCTTTCTCGTTTCTTCTTCTTCTTTTCCGTTTCTTCTTCCTTCTTTTCATTTCTTCTTCTTCTTCTTCTTCTTCTTCTTCTTCTTCTTCTTCTTCTTCTTCCTCATTTCTTCTTCTTTTTCATTTCTTCTTCTTTTTCATTTCTTCTTCTTCTTCTTCTTCTTCTTCTTCTTCTTCTTCTTCTTCTTCTTCGTTCCTTCTTCGCTTCTTCTTCTTCTTCTTCTTCTTCTTCTTCTTCTTCTTCTTCTTCTTCTTCTTCTTCTTCTTCTTCTTCTTCTTCTTAGTTTCTTCTTCTTCTTCTTCTTCTTCCTTTTCTTCTTCTTCTTCTTCTTCTTCTTCTTCTTCTTCTTCTTCTTCTTCTTCTTCTTCGTTCTTCTTCTTCTTCTTAGTTTCTTCTTCTTCTTCTTCTTCTTCGTTCTTCTTCTTCTTCTTAGTTTCTTCTTCTTCTTCTTCTTCTTCTTCTTCTTCTTCGTTTCTTCTTCTTTTTCATTACTTCTTTCTCATTTTTTCTTCTTCTTGTTAGTTTCTTCTCCTTTTTTTCGTTTTCTTCTTCTTCTTCTTCTTCTTCTTCTTCTTCTTCTTCTTCTTCTTCATTTCTTCTTCTTCTTCATTCCTTCTTCGCTTCTTCTTCTTCTTCTTCTTCTTCTTCTTCTTCTTCTTCTTCTTCTTCTTCGTTCGTCTTCTTCTTCTTAGTTTCTTCTTCTTCTTCTTCTTAGTTTCTTCTTCTTTTTCAGTACTTCTTCGTCGCTTCTTCTTCTTCTTGTTAGTTTCTTCTCCTTAGTGTTTTTCTTTTTCGTTTCTTCTTCTTCTTCTTCATCTTTTTCGTTTCTTCGTCTTCTTCTTCTTTTTCATTTCTTCGTCTTCTTTTTCGTTTCTTCTTAGTTTCTTCATCTTCTTCTTAGTTTCTTCTTCTTTTTCATTACTTCTTCGTCGCTTCTTCTTCTTCTTGTTAGTTTCTTCTCCTTCGTGTTTTTCTTTTTCGTTTCTTCTTCTTCTTCATCTTTTTTGTTTCTTCGCCGCCTTCTTCTTTTTCGTTTCTTCGTCTTCTTTTTCGTTTCTTCTTCTTCTTCTTCTTCTTCTTCTTCTTCTTCTTCTTCTTCTTCT